CCCCCAAAACCCCAAAACCCCAAAACCCCGACTTATTAAAAATCAAAAATCTCAGGAATTGTATTAATAATCAAGGAAAAATTTATTTAAATAAAATATATATCCTTCACATCTTTTTTCCTATTGATAATTTTTATGATATTTTAGACTTAAGAGCCATACTATCAATCTTTCGAGCCTTAACACTTTATAATTTAATCAGTTTATCAATATCTATTGTAGATTTATGTTTTTGCTTTTAGTTCTTTTATTTTAAATTGCTAATGAAATTAAGCATAAAGCCTTCTTAGAAATTTTCTGTATTATCGGAAACAACAATTTCTTAGCTCTATTAGCAAGCTTCTATATCATTAGAATTATCTTTATTCGCATTGATTTCTCTACTTGGCTAGTGAAAAAAATCTTATAAGGCTGAATCTTGATGTCCTTTTGAAATATTATTATTTTATTTTGTTTTTCTCTGTTTTTTTGGTCCTTATCTCTTTTGATTGGCATATGAAAAACCTGTTTATGTACTCTTAGCTGATTTTTTAGTTTAGATTTAATCCATGATTTTTAATTAAAGTCTAGGGCTTATTTCACTTTATTTTAGACTTTCTGAACACTCAATTAATTGCTCTTTTCCTATTTTTAATTTTGAAAGGGGTATCAATTAATTTTCATTTAGCATTCTTTCATCTATTATGTTAAAGCTTTTAAGAACATTCAAGAATTTTTAGATAAACTTTAGCTTAACCTGTCTTAAGATGCACAAAATAAAGAACGAAATGAACCATAAGTTAGAAATAATGATTAACGACATGAATATCACTTAAACTCCGTATTCAATCTCTTCATTGACAAAGAATAAGGTAGCAAAAAATGTGATTGAAGTGCTTAGCATTTCTCGATATTCCAGCTCATTATAAAGTGGATTCTAGTAAGGTTTAATTCTCTGCTAGAATCTTTGTGATAAAAATGAAAATAATATCATGAACATTGCCTTGAATAGGGGAATTGATTTTTGAAGGAATACATTGACAGATATAAGCATTACTTTTCTTATTACATTAAAAAATTCCCAATAGAAACACTCCTTCTTTAAACCTTGGCAAATTGGTTTTAATCTTGCTTACATAAATTTCTAATTTTCAATCTAGTATCTTCTCTTAAAAGTGCTATAGAATCCAATAATAGGTAATCCTAATACCCATATCAAAAGCAAAGGTAAAGCTAAAGCAAAAGCGAAAATAAAATGGGATCCCTCCCAGCATTTTATTTACAAATCCTCCATTAACCATAACTCATTATTATCAAGTTCCAAGCAATGAAATTTACTAATCACATATTTGGTTACTGTTGGATGCGTAAAATATATCACAACTACTATACTCATTATTGATAAATCTTTAAATTTTTCTAAGCTTAGATTTTTCAAAAATTTAATGAAAGCAAAAGCAGTAACATATGAAAATATCAGGGCAATCGGAGAGCAAACAACAATCACTGTCTTAAAGAATGTCAAATCATCATAATTATTTTTAGCTACTGTATTAATCATGAAACAGTCAACTGACATAATACTTTCATACGATTAGCCTACCTAGATAAACATTTAATAAAACTATTTCAAATTTATAGGCCAATCTAAGTTGATGCTACTCAAATAAGCTGTCATTTACAAATAATTTGTGAATATCCTCATTATAACTGAGATTTATCTATCATCTTTAAATTTCATATTAGTGTAGATCAAAAAGGTCAAGTACAGTAATATAAGAAAAAGTCCGATAATGAAAAGAATATTAAGGGCATTTTCTTAGCACTCAACACATTCATTTTACCCATATTTTGCATATTTTAAGCCTTGATTAACTGAGCATTTATGGCATAGATTTCCTTGATATCCGACTGCACACAAAATATCAGAACTGGACTAAAACTAAATTAGCTTTTTAATTTACATTTTTGAGTAGAGTTCCTCCAATACAGGCTTAACTAAGTAGGCAATCATGAATTTAGATAGATTAATAAGTTGACCTCCAAACTCCATTCTTCAAAGTAATTTCGTTACCACCAGGGCAATATGATTATCGAGGGCAGTAATCACATTCTTAGGAATTCTCTGTTATAGAGTATGTTCCTTCCTCACATATTTAGCATCTATAATAAAATATAAATAAGATAAAAGTAAATTACTAATTATTCGCAGAAGATTCACCTTCAATACAATATCTGAAATCAATCATTATATATTGATCATTGATATCTGATGAGGTATTATTGTCTTTAAAGTAGAATGACTTAATGTATTCATCTTGGATATTAGGAGAATAAAGTCTTAGAAGAACATTTGTAGAGCCCGGCTATGCGATAACCTTAAGTGTATTAAAAGTAGCAACACCTTTTACAGTAGTAGCCATTTTTTCTCCTTAAATCGAAGTTGACTTTTAATCATATTCTTCTATCTTTATTGCAGTATAATAATTATTCGTAATTCTTTAACCCTCAGTGTCTATCAATTCTACTTATATGGTTTCTTTTAAATATTATCCACTCACTGCTTAGATTTTGTTGTTGGTAATTAATCTAACTGAGTACGGATAGCTTGATATATTATATCCATAAGGTGCATAGTTATTAATAAAAGTATTATTTTCTAAATACTTTGGTCTATACTTCGTGAAAATTACCGCTCCACCTTAAATGGTTGCTTTATTATTGATGAATGTTGAATTATGAATACTATATTTGCAATCCTGACTTCTTGAGCAAAATAAGTATAGAGAACCTCCATGGGGTGCTTAGGAATTAGCTAAGACAGAATTGAATATTTCTAGATCAGACTTTAATGACTAAATTGCTCCTCCACTTGTTGAAGACTAAAGATTTTATAGAGTTGAATTAGATATATAAACTTTGCTTCTTGTTGAAACTAAGGCCATATTGTCTTGCAAAATAGTCTTTACTTAAATATCTAGTAAACGAGATCGATTCACATAAGGTAAAACATTAGCATTTATGTTTGCTTTACCTATTATCAAGTATGTATCAGCAATATTGAGTAAATTTATGTTAAAAGACGTGAAATTAGAATTCTTTATCTCTACTTTAGTTGTTCTCAATATCCTGATCATATCTTAAGAAGCCTAAATTATTCCATTGAAGTTTGAATCAGTCATTATTAAAGGAGAGGAATCTAAAAACATAAGATTTACAGAGGGTGCTTTTATTTGTACAAATTAAACCTTAGTCTTTTCTATATTTATTGTTGAAAATGAAGATATAGCAAGGGAGCTTTTGATATCTAAGATAGAATTATTCAACAAAAATAAGGAAGAACTTAAAGATTGCTGAAATATTGCTTAGTCTCTATATTCTTTATCTTCATCGTATTTTATATTCTAGATTATTGAATTACTAATCCGAATTTCACAAGAAGTTGAACTAATAAATGAAGAGTCATCTTTTCTTAAAGTAATATTCGAGATTATACTGTCATTAAATACTAGTAAACTTTAAAGGCAGCTTATGAAATTAACTTCATTATTGATGCTAGTATTCCCTGATATAATTAACTTTGATTTTTTTATGTCTATCCTAAAACCCAAATTAATTTCTTAAAAATCATCTAGACTTTACTTTCGATTAGATATTTTTTCTCGATAAAGGTTAGGAGTTTATATAATTCCATTCAATATTGAATCTGAATCTGTAATAGTGTTATTGAAGATTGTTACGTTATGAAGTTATGATATTTAATTGTAAGAGTCTGAGATTTGAAGAATCGCTGATTCAAAAGCTTTATTATTTTTAATTAATGAATTCTTAATGATTATCTAACCTTCATTTAAGACCATCGCTATGCTTCCACTTTTAGCTATGTTGTTGACAAATTAGCATTAATCAAATAAGAGTCTACTATTTTAGTGAATGAAACTTATTCCCCCTTGATAAGCCATATTATTGATAAATGATGTATTATAGATGAAACCAGATACATTAGTATAATCAGCAAATAAGATGCTTCCTCTTGAAAGTGAATAATTATCCTAAAATATAGAGTCTTTAATATATATTTCACTGTTTGTTTAAAGTCTAATCAAAGAATCTGTTAGCGCAGAATTGTTTTTAAAATTGCAATTTTCAAATTTAAATCTTAAAGCGAGGTTTATATTGATTTAATCTCTTGGTTAAATTCGAATTTATCCTTTGAAATTATTGAAGAAGTCATTATTTGCAAACAAAACTGGGTTAATATCATTCTAGATTCCTTTAATTAAATAACCTCCTTGGGGAAAGCTATTGTTAATTATTGTGTTTTCTTTGAATAATAAAGTAGCAGGAAGAGTATTAACAAATGAATCAAGATATATTATACTATTCCATTTTTACATGATGTTGTTTTAAATTTAGTTATTAGTAAATGCTATTGAGAAGTTTTGAGATAAGATTCCTGCAGATTTTTAGAATCCGTAAAAATATAGGAATCCTAGTTAAGAATCTTTCATCAATATGTTCTTGATCTCTGATGTTTAATTGTATTGTTAATTTAAAGTCTATAAATTTAGAATGTCAAATGAATAGAAGAATCTTACAATTTTATCAAGTCTAATCATATAAGTGGAAGACTTTTGATCAATTTATTCATATGTAAAATTACTAAAGGTATTGTTGTAAATCCTCACATTTAATGCTTTAAGAATGTTAATGTAAAACGAATTAGAATTTTGTCCTAGAAATTATTATAAGGTAATAAAGTATGAATACTTTCATTTCAAAATGTTGAATTGAATATTGATGTTTGAAAATTTAAGTCCTATTATAAAGCTGAGTTTGAAAATAGTCTATTATTCTCATAAAGTAGATTGCTGAAGCTTGAGGTAGATCCTTCATTAGCTGATGAATGCTTTATTATTGCTTGCCCATTTTGTTAATCATTAACTACAATAGCATATATATAAAAATTAATTCTAATTACAGGTTATATTTCTTATAGTGTGTCCTTTAATAGTAAGGAACCAAGCAAAGTTAAAAACATTAATGAATCTTCCATTAAAATATGAGTCAACATAAGTCATATCTATACATTAATAATCATTATCAAACTTACTAATTAGAGTTGCATTTCTATCAAGACTAAGATTCACCAATGTTGCTATAGGTTACTCAATTGTTACATTCCTGAAAAATAAATTCTTAGCAATGACCTCAGGTGCTTTAAAAGATCCTATTCTAAAGAACCCACTTCTTGTGTAAATGTTTTCTACTGTTATATTTTCAATTGTGATCGATAAAACTCTAAATTACTCCTCTAACTATAAATGATAGTAGGAATAAATTGCTCCTTTTGATGCATTCATTGTAAGATAGTTATTTGAGAATTTATAAACTTTAATTCTACCATCATCAAATTTTGTATGACATTTGTCACTTTAATCCAGATATACTTGCAAAATAGTTCTATCAGTGTCTCTAGAGTAAAGGGATAAATTTGAATTGTTGATAGTTATGTTATTGGGACTTAAGATATTAAAATAAGGGTTTGTCTAAACTGAAATTTTGTAGCCAGTTATTGTAATATTTTCAAATAGGATATCTCCATAATTAACTAAAATGAATCAGTTAAAATAATTTTTTAATGTACCTGAATTGGGAACAATACTGCAATCAGTAATAATATTTGCAAAGCAACTCAAGTATTGTAATTGTATGATTGAATTCATAAAGAAAAGATTAACTGGTGTATTAGTTTTAAAAACTGTTCCATAAAAATCAATTTAAAGATTCTATTAAAATTTGTTTAATTAAGTAGAATCATGATAATTACATTTAAAATTATTGATGAGGATTAGATATCATAAGTATAGAAGAGCTATTAGTTTTCATTAGAACTATTTTTTTCAACTAATAAAAATAATAAAAAGTTAATTTTACTTACTTATAATAATGAAATTTTCCATGGTAAAATTGCTCCTTGCTATTACAAAAATAGCCTGATTCAATTGATTTATTTAGGTAAACTCTGATAGGGAAGTAACATTAGGATGATAGTTAGCATTTAAGAGATACATCTTTTGCTATACTAGCGAGAATATTGATGATTAAGACTATTTATAAGGTAGAGAATTTTTTATTAAAATGGTAGCTGGGTCTCCTATTTGATAAGTATTCGAAGTCTTGTAAGTCCTAAGGAAATTAGATAAATTTACCTGCTTATACTTACTTGATACTTAAATTCTAAACTCCGTTGATCATCTACCTTTGGAGATATGTCCTCATTTCATGTATTGTATTTTCTTTAATAAGGATTTATATTGAATTCTTGTTAGCAGGAAGAAAGTTGAATACTTCAAACAATGCATCTTATAATGTCTTATATGGAAATTTGATCGTCCCAAGCTCAAATTCTACTTTTGAATCAGGGTTAACAAAAAGAATTTTATCTAATAAAATAGGTAAATCTTATATTTTTACTTCTACAGACTTTTAAATTTGCTTCTTTTCCATTGAAGGAAATATAAGTTTCAATAGGGATTTATTCAGTTTAACATTTATTGACGCATATTTGACTATCCAAGTCAAGATATTGATTTTCATTTTCGCAAAATAGACAAGAGCCATCAGAATGACACAAACTTAGCACACAGGTGCACTCTATATTGATTTATAAGTACATGAATAGAGTATATAAATGCTATCAAATAGTTTTAAATATTACCTTTGCATGTTTAAGATTATTATTATCTATACTCTCCTTAGGGACAGAATTAGCAAGTTTTATTTTTCATAGAAGGATGCTCCAAATTCGATACTTAAAAATACATCAATTGATTTGGACAAGATGTACAAGAAACTGAATCATTACAAGTTAGACAACTTGAACTACAATCTAGAAAATGTTGGATTGAAATATTACCTTAACAAGTATTTGATTATGGATCCAAGAATTGATTCTATTTACAGATTATTCCTTAAACTTGATAAGAAATACGAGATAATAATAAGATGGTAAATAAGCTTTTTATCATATAATTATTAATTTTAAGATTATAATTAAATTCTATGAACTGAATAGTTAAAGTAATTTTATCAGTTATTTTATTACATTACTGCCATATTTTAATGGAAACTCAATAGACATATAGTACTATATTCTTCAACGAGGAGCCTAACACTATCCATAAGAGCGATTCTTCATCATCAACCTATGAGCATATACCAGTCAGGCAAAGATCCAACAATACCGATATACAACTGGGATTAAGATAGTTTAATGACCTATCTTCTGCTATACATCAAAATAGTAATTATGAAAACAATAAGCAGTCTTTGGGTTTCATAATAAGTCCAAATATCAAAGAAGAACTTTTAGAGTTGGAGGATGGCCCATCAATATCTCCTTTGAAGTCAGTCAATCTGTAAACCTTAAAATCGCAGTGTAAATACTTTGCCTTAATGCAATTTTAGAACCAAAGATTTCTATCAACGACAAGCCTTCTCTCAAGACTTCCTAAATTAATGTAGTTTCTCCATTTTAACTTAATGACCATGCAAGTGATCACGCTGGCTATTCACCCTGGATAAAGACTAACTAAGGATCATTTAATAAGATAGCAAAATTTTCAGTCTCAAAAAGACGATCCTAGGAGGATCAACTTAGATCCTCTGACTACAAAATATCTTCCCCTAACTTTATTAGTCAATCAGACATTTAGCTTCAGAAGTCAATCAACTTTATGATAAGAGACACTAGTATGATTAATGGTAGTTCAGTTTTAATGAATTCTTGAAAAGTCTTACCTAAAATTTAACATAAAGTCATTGAATCATGTTAAAGAGATCAGAGTACATTTAATCAGACTTTCCTAAATTAAAACAATGAAATGCCAATGACTATAAATATGCTTATTCCCAGATATTAGTAACAAGAAGTGAAGGTTAATCCTATAACTGCAAAAAACAAGAAGCTATTGAAAGAACTATAAGACAAAACAAAGAGTCCAAGAAATCTCAAATATGGAACATTTTATCATCCGCCTGTTGTCAATGTGCGTAAATTATCGGGTTAATTAAAAGATATAAGTTAAATCCAAATTTTGGATGAAAAAAAACGGATTGTTGAAAAAATAAAGCAAGAAAATATAATGAGTAAGCAGGTCTACAGATAGTATCTGCTTAAAAATATAATTGAAGTCAAAAAGCGTTGACACAGAAATAGTTTCCAAAAGTTCTCTTAACCCGACATCAGGGAAGCACTTTAAATTGGATCATCATTTCATGAATCATTTAGAAGTTCATTTGGATAAACTCAGCAAGTATTTTCTGCTCAGAATAGCCCAAAGAGAGATCCAATGAGTCTCAATGACTTAAGCTTCTTAAGTGGAGAGGGTTTGAGAGGATATCTTTAATACTGGGATATCAACGATTTAGATAATCATAAAACCAATAAAGATAAAAACATTATCTCTCATCAATTCAAATCTCATGAATTATCAGATATTTCCAAAAAAGGTTTAAAAGGTAAAATTATGAGGCATCTTGGATTAAACTCCTCTAGTAACCATAATTTCTCTCAATAATTCGAATTAGAGGGGAGGAATAGTAGGTATGGATAAGATAAAAGTTGTAGTAATTTCAAAAGGAGCAGACTCTAAATTGAAATATCCTAAGTCGATATAAATGCAGATATTTGACATGAAGTTAAGTCTTGCATAAAAGCTACGAATTTCTTCATTTACACCTGTAATCTTTTATTTCATTATTTAAAAAAGCATTATCAAAAAGTGAATAACTCAATTTTAACAGATTGAGGGGTTTTGGGGTTTTGGGGTTTTGGGG